CTGATTTGGACCCATTTACTTACCACATTCATTGGTTCAAGTCAGGCATGACATAATGGTTATAATTCTGTCTGTAAAGTTAACATAAATGCTTATGGATTTTAAAGTATCCAGTGGGTGCTAGCTTTGGATTTTATTATACTTAACTTCAGCAGACTTAAATGTCTATTATTTAGACTGTTTATAGCAAACAAGTTGGTTTATATATGTGTGTGTGTGTGTGTTTTACAGCAATCAACAGGCATTTTTACTAGAAAACGTCCCATGCAATAATGTAAGCTGCAAGAGTGTACGTCGTATGTTTAAAGTTTTTTGGGAACTCTCGGATCTAAATCAAATCAAGGATGCAGTGGTAGCAACCTTCTTTGACATATACGAAGACGTGAGTTCAACCCTTTACTCCAGAGCAGCATCTCCCTTGCTGTGTTGCTATCTGTGCGCGCGTGCCCTTAGCAGACTGCGTTGTAGAAATGTTGGCTTTACAGCCCTTCACAGTGCCTTCAGTCCGGGAAACTGGCTCTTGACGTGCTCCCTGGAAGGGGAGCAGAGAGCAGCAGCCCATCGCTGCCTCCAAGTTTGCCGCCCCTCCGTGTGCTCCATCTGAGCTGTCCCCCCTCAGTGGCAGGAAAGACGCCACAGACCACACGTGTTGTCCTGGTTGGCTGTGGATGGAGCACTCTCTCCTAAATTGCCATAGATTTGTAAGATTTGAAAGATATTAAAATTAGTAGGAAAGCTGTAAACTTTGCTACACCCAATCCTATTTTTTTCATTTGTACCTCTAAGCCAATTTATTTGCTAGATTTAGATGTTAGCTAGACTAAATCAGCATTCTAACATAAACTTTTTTTTCCTCTAGGGTATCCTGGATATCATTGTGCTAAGCAAAGGCTACTCCAACAAGGACTTTACTATCCATACATTAAAAAATAACTTTGAAGCAGATGCCTATTTTGTTAAAGTTATTGGTAAGTTAGCACTGTATAATGGAGTCAAAACGGGACCTTGACAGGAATGTGAATGTTTGAGCCTCTGTATATGATAATACTATGGCAGTGGTCCATGTGTGATGATTCTAGAAAAGAAAAAACCACAGCGTGGAAAATGTTAAGGATTGCAGAAATTTCCTTGTTGCAGAATCTGAACTTGGATAAATTGGTTTTGTTTCGTTTCAAAGGGTTATTTTTTTGTTTCTATTTTAGTGTACTTATTAAAATTCTGAGTAATTCTGCCCCTATTCTCAACACTTTAGCTGTTTTTAATATCAGTGTTGACCATGATGACAGTAAGTGTTCATCATCTCTTGAGCGTAGTTTTTGTTTTGGTTTTTTTACAAGAATTTTTACAAGCACTGCCATGTCCTTCCGGACTGCAGAGGTGTTGAGCTTTGAGCTCACTGCTTCTCCATCTTCCTTGATTTTTTTGAGAACGAGTGAAAAATGAGGCTGTACCTGAGCTTATCAGGACAAAGTTGAACAGGAACAATTAGAGGTCCACCTTCAAAAATTGTATTTGCCCTCATGTTATTTAAATGCATCTAATCCTTCTGAAGCACACATTCTGCACTCCATAAGATAAACAGAAGTGCAGCCTCTACTGGGGACCGATGCATTTATTACTTTCTCCTTAGCCTGAGCTTTATTCTCATTGTAATACCCTGTAACGATTTGTCATGTTGATGGAAGGTGCCTTTTAAATAATGCTGTGTATGCGTAGTGTAATTCACGCAAGCATGCAGAAGAACCTCTAGAAAAATCTTACACTTCACAAAGCTATATTAGAATTATAATGGTGTGATATTTTAATGGGGAAAGGAGTAACTCGCAACACACTTTTTGATTCAGTCTGTGTAAATCTGCCTTAAAAATTGAAGCAAGCCTTTTTTTAGCATCCCTTTTTGAGTTCGGCTATTTTTGCATAGAAACCTCAGGAAATGGGAATTAATGAGTGGTCTAAAAATATTTTTACTGTGATACAAGGGAGAACATTTCTAAGGAAACATGCTTTCTGCGAGTTAGTGTATCGATAAATGCATTATGTTCACTTACTTGGCATATGGACAATGAGAACAGTTTTGCTCATTATAACTGATGTCAAATGTACTCGGTCGGATTATTTGTTCCAGTAGTGAAATTGAATAGCAAATTGCAGTGTGCCATTTTGCATCTAAATGGGAAGAGTTGGTTCCACTTGCATACACACCTATGTGTAACATATGAAATCAGCTTGTAGCTTAAAAAGTCACTTGTAAGTCCACACAGTCTTCAAATTCTGCTTTGCTGCAGAATTATTTTATTTTTTTTTGGACTGTATAAAACCAATAGGTTTTTCTGTTTGGAAATTTCAACATTTTTAGATTGCAAGCAAAGAGTGATAACTTGGGAATCATGACATGCTAATATTTGCACACAAAATATTAGAAAAGTTCCTTCACTAGAACAGTGCCATTTCTGACTCTGGTAAGGAATGATCTTTGTTCAGACTATTACATTAGGAATGTCTTATGTACACCTTTTAGTATTTCTCTGTTCTCAAACATTTTGCATCTGAAACTCCATGGACCCTTAAAGTAGACAGAAAATGCTTTAAAAAAAATCCCGGTAGTTGGGATGACCTGCCCTCAAATCTGGTCCAAATATTAATTTTCGCTGTCTCCCCCACTCGTTTCAGAATACCCGAACTCACGGAGAGGTTGTGTGTTGACTTGGCTTTGATCCTCCCTGCAGTTATTGGGCTGCTGCTCAACCAAACCCTTGTCATTTGAAGTCCCAATGTTGCATCAGAGTGATGCCTGAGACTTTTGTTTGATTTTGTTGGTTTAAAGGCATTTTAGACCTGATGCTCTAATATTCAGTGTGACAGGATGTTCTGGGTTCTAGAAAAGATGGTTTTCATTGTTGTCATTTAGTTGATTATAAATAAGTGTTTAACAGATATTTCTGTAATTTAACTGATTTTTGAAACTAATAAGCTTTAAACAAGTAATTGAACTGTGACAGGCTTAGACAGTAGGTAGCATTATACACATCTGCTTATAACATTTTTTTAATTCATACAATGAATAGGTAACGGGATTTTTTTTGTTACAGCTTCTGTGAATTGCTTTAAACCAAGGTGTAAAACTATCCCTTGTGTAGAATGGAAAGCCTTTACTTAGCTTTTTACCAGTTAAAACAGTAAAGCTGAATCTCTGCCAGTATTTTTAAATGGTTAGAAATTAAGAATAATTGCTAAAATGTACAGTCCAGTATTTTAAAAATGTTTCAATTTGGGATCTTTTTAGCTGGTAACTCTCTCCTTTTAAAGCTGGTTAACCAATGAGGTACAGTAAAACAGTGACTAGTTGATTAATTTCTGCATTTGTATACTTCAAATGGATGAGGAATTTTTTAATAGATTAAGATAATTCATATAGAAGACATTTATTTTCTTTTTGTGTTTTAATGGGTGCAGGACACTATGACTGTATTTTATCAGATTTCAGAGGCAGAGCTTGTAAGATGGTTTGTTACCATAAACACTACATGCTCACTTTTTGTTTTTTGCAGTTCTCAGTGGCCTCTGTTCTAATGACTGTCCTCGGAAAATAACAGTAAGTATTACTACAACTTTACGTTACTATTTAGCTTCAAATAGGCTGAGGTCTAATTATACCAAAACCTCTCCACATATTAAGACAGTTACTGGCTGGAAGGATGTTTAATCCAAATCATGATTGACCACGCTCAAAATATTTGAGACTCGTACCTTTTGCCAGCTGCCTCCTCGGAGATGAAATCAATTGACTGATTCTGCTTCGTTTTGATTATTTTAATCATCTCCAATTAGCAAATTGGTTAGCAATGTTCACAGTGAAAGCTGCCCTAAAAGAAGAACTTAGAGACATCAAAGCACTAGTGTTAGCATTTCAGGTTTGCAGAAATGATAGGAAATTTCATTTTTATTTGAAAATACAAAAACTGCTTCAAATGGGACCAACTTTTTCTTCAAACTTATTTTAAGACATAAGGTTTAATTTCTGATGTAAAACAATAAAAGGGTTTGATAGTATTACTAGCTTAATTACAAAACTAAAAAATTACAAAAAAGAAGGTTTAAAAAGCAAATCTTCACAACAGATGTTGGTGAACATTTGATTATCAAGATCATTGACGGAGGATTGCCTCCACTGTAAAAGAAGTTCTCTGTCAGACACTCATATGAGCACCTTATGCTGGAGTTTTTCACCTCTTTACTAATCTTTCATAGATCTGCATTAACATCACCTATGTGGTCTCCTTACTCTTCATTCTAATCAATTATTTTTCAGGCTTTGATCCCATCGTTCTTAAGGTTTACAGTGTAGTAGTTTTTGAGGCATGGTGTGAAATGTCATCATCTTTTAATATTCTTTCTGTAATTCATTTGAAAGATCTTTACTGAATTTGGTACCCTGGTATCAGCCTGAATTCACCATTGAAAAAAAAAATCCACAATTTAAAAAAAACCTCTTTTCTTACAGTTGTTCCCCTTCCTTCCCCACTGTAGTAGATAATTGTTTCCCTTTCCCCGTACTTCAGTGAATTTGTTACAGTTCATTGCTCAGGAATACATAACTCCCTTTGATTTTATTTTTTTTCTCCCCTTTCCCCCCCAGTAACTGCACTTTGATGTTTAAGTACATTTTCACCCTCAAGAGAATTTGCTTAACATAGATGATTGGTATTCTACAAGTAACTATTCACTCACTTTTGTGAATTAAATAAAACACTGCTAAATAGTGGTAGTAACATTCTGAATTTGTGTAGTATTTTTCAATTCAGAAAGAACATCAAGATACAGTGCCTTCTCTCAGACAGCATCAAATGTGTTCTGCTTTTGCAGAACATGCAGTGATGTCTTTGAAATGTTAGGGTTGGTTTTTTTTTCACTTCTAACTTCCAAGGAAACATTAAACCTTTTGCCAAAGGACTGAATGGTGCTGCTTTCTTCATGAGAAACTAAACATTACGTAGACAACTGATTAGCCTTATTTTGAAAATTAATTTCTGCATAATGCTATGACCAAAACAGTTGCAAGACTTTGAAATTATCCATATCAACAGGAAATCATTAATCTAGAAACATTTCTCTTTGGTTTAGTGTTTTGTTACTAGAGTTTTGTCTTTTCCTGAAATTTTTCCTGCTTTCCTGCCCCACCTTGTAGCCTTTTGGTGTGAATCAGCCTGGTCCTTACATCATGTACACGACTGTAGATGCAAATGGATACCTGAAAAATGGGTCAGGTAAGATAACCTGATAATAAGAATATATATGCCGTGGTCTGTCTGTATCTACTTCTCGGCAAACTAAAGAGTTGGAAAGAAGTCTGCAGGGTGAAATGGGACTGGTTTTGAACAGTGCCTTTCTCAATGGTGGCAGTTGTCTGCATCTGTCACTCAGGTCTTATTTCAAATTAAACTCAAGTTGGTAAAAAAAGTTTCCGCTAGTTAAGTGAAGAAACTGTATTCTGTATAACTTTAATTTAAATAATAGCAATAATTTAGAGGAAAAAATTATGACATATTAAGGTCCTGAACCAATGGTAATGTTCTCACCTTGAATACTGTGCTCAGGACTGTTAATTGCACCCTAAAAAAAAAAAAAAAAGAGAAAAAAGATGTCCTGAAATACAAACCAGATAGCTGCAAAAACATATCCTCATATTCTATAGCACTTCTGTATTTGTACATGCTTAAATATGGGTTTAAAAGCTTGAAAGTATTAGCCTATATTTTAATCAAACTAATAATTAATGCTAACATGAAAATGCAGAGTTTTTTTTCTAATTGTTGCACAAATTCATTTTAACCAACTAAACGTCCTGCCAGTTGTACGCTCAGCTTCATTGCTCTGAAGGTTTTCTTCATATGCTAAATCTAAAAAAAAGCTTCCATATTTAGTTAGGAACTTTTAAAACCCCATGATGAGTTTTGAGGTTTTCAGTGGCACTGCCCACTGTGGGACTGACTGACCCATGCCCACAGGCAGCCGGGTTGGGTCAGGTCAGGTAATGACTGGTGGATCTCGTTAGTACTAATTACCAAGGTGCAGGCTTGCGAGCTTCATCAGAGCCGACTCACAGTGCAGCCTCTGTTGGAAACCATAGCAGGAAATACAGGGAAAGGCTTGCACAAAATCTTTCTCCTTGGCCCCACAAAACCTGCAGTCCTGTAGACATGACAGTGACTTCCGTATGCTGGTTTTTTGGGTTATTTGTGATCCCAAATAACTTCTGAATCCTCTAGCTTACTTAAGCCAGTTTTAACTGGAGCATATGTACTTCAAATAAAACTCTACCCGTTTTGTTTGTTGGGGTTTTTTTGGGGGCGGGGGGAGGGAGGTGCGGTGCTTTTAGAAATGCAGTGTTTTTAGAATTTAGCCTAAGAAACAGCTATCAGTGTGATTTGATATTGCTACAGTACCATTCGTCTTCACCGCTACCATATTTACAATAATAAAACCTAACAGAGTCCACTCGTGATCAATTTCCTTTTCTGTTTTGGCATTAGGAAATAACAGCGATGAATTCCAAGCGCATTTATGACCCTAGCAGTATTGCCACAGGGAATTTTGTAATACTGTCTTTGATCAGTTTCTCAACTGTAATATGTTAATAGAATTTTTTGGAGTCTGTATAACTCCTGCAAGAACTTTTCAAAGTCACATTTTCCAGAGCTACTACATTAAGTTTGTAGCTAAACTTTCTTCTTTTACAAGTCCTACTTGTAAAATTCAGTAAATGTTCTTCTAACTAGAATTACTGGCCTACAGGTTTTATCTTGAAAAACAGTCTGTTACTTCACAATCGTATTCTATTTTTTACTATCAAGAAATACCTCAAGCCACATTTTATATAAGTGTATTGGCAGGCAATACCAAACCCACATGGGATTTTCTGGCCATATATAAACTTCCAAAACATCTTTTCCACATTGAGCTTTTAAAAGTATGGCATCAGTATAGTATTTTAAAACTAATTTTTGCCAACTTAATTGCGTTCCTTATATAATATGGAACAATCCATATCTGAAGCTTTTAATTATATGAAAGCAATAAAAGGAAGATAATTTGTAATCATATTTTTAAAATAATTCCTCTCTTCCCCAAGAAGTAGCATGAGTAACAATCAGAGTTCTTTTCCTAATGAAAACAATGCTCACGATTCAGTTTGGGTTTTTTCGAGTCAACTGATGCTCTTTGTTGCCTTTACCAGTGGTCTTAGCAGGGGCAGAGTTATTGGCTGGACCACTGAAACCAAACTACCCAGTTACCTTAAGTTAGCCCTCCAGCCCTGGGCTACACTAAATCACCCCGTACTCAGTCAAATGCCGACCATTCTGCTTCTGATCTTCCTAATTCTGCAGGACTTTAGTTCTGAATTACGGTATCTCTCAAGCATGCAATATTCATACAAAGAAGAAAATAAGAAGGCACATGTGGCTGTCCTTATCTAATTCATTTTAAGGTTCTTTGATCTGCCAAGCCTTAACTACAGGAAATTTGCATAATTACGAGGGGTTTTTTAATACATTGTTAGAATTATTCTCTCTCCCATTAACACTCCAGTATGTTGTTAAAAGATAGCAGAATAATAATTAGCGCGTATTCTGTGCTTTTACTCTCACATCGCTCAATTCACTTGTAATCTTACAAGAAGAAATACTGTTAAATTAGTTACAAGGAATAGCAATTGCCAAAATGAGCATTAGAATTGAGAAGTATTGGGTCTTACATCTGTGGTTAATATCTCCACAGACCTTCTCTGTCTGAGAGGAAATTCAATTGCAACCACTTCTTTAATTATTTAAGGAATTTTATGCTTGAGATCAGATCAGGTCCAGATGTAAGTCTGGGAGAAGTATGCAAACTCGAATTTAAGTCATGCCTTCTGACTACTTTAGTTCCTGCGATCTGCCTTCTCCACTCCCCCTTTCTTCTGGAGTTGTTATTTTTAAGGAGACACCTCAGTTAAATGCGAGTGTCATCAGCTTGGATTTTCAGCTCTATATCTGCGTTTCCTGGCTTTTATTGGCTTCTAAGAAATTTCTAATACCATTCTGATGTGGTGTTTTTCAGCTGAATCCTGTAAGCCACAATGCATAGCATAGAGGATAATGGCTAAAGTTGAGCACAGATAGGAAATTGAAGCTGTTCTTGGGGTGGGGAGGGGAGGATGCATAAAATGAATGTAGTAAAGCTAACCAAATGCAAGTCGTTGGGCTTTGTTGTTTTTTCGGTGTGTGGTTGGTTGGTTGGTTGATTTAACTTCAGCATCCAAAAAAGTGATTGTTGATAATGAAATAGTAGCCCTACTAAATCTCTTTGGTTTTGCATAGAACTGCTGTCAGTTGGATTACTGCAGATCACACCTATACGGCTCGATTTGTTAACAGTTCTGAACCTCGGTCCCAATAATGATCCTTTGTGTTTTCTTAAGAAGGCTACCTACTTGATACGTTTGGTTTCATTTATTACCAATAACACAAACTGATTTTCTTAGAACCAATGTCCTGTGAACCCAGATCAACATAAATAAGATCAGATACTTTAGCATGGAGAGGCTGTTAATTTACCAAAATGTTTTCAGAAACCGCACAGGGACGCATATTGTAGCACCAGCACAAGACAGGGATTTTAAATTTGTTATTGCAATGGTGCCTGGTCAAGGGTTGAAGCAGTGAAACGACTGGGTGGTCCTGTAGAGGCTTCATCCTATGGATGTCAGGCTGCATTTAGCCATCAGCATCTTTTTACCTTTTTTCTCCTTCTGATACCCTTTTCCCCGCAACCCAGCTTTCCTGTCTCCCTGCATGCTTTCTCCCTCTTCCGTGTAACCGCAGTACTTTCAGACATCTGATACCTTTTTGTGCTAAGGACGCCTATGAGGTGTGTTATTCTGTGCAGTGTGCAGCATACCCAAAGTAGCTTTATATATTTTTTGATAGATCAGATGAACCTTGCAAGCTGGGCCCAACCTAGCTGGAGTGTGAGGTCAATGCATTGTTTCATATTTTCACTTCCATTTAAAATGCGAGAGTATCTTCCATGTTTCAGCCTGTGCTATGGACGTCTTAATTTTCTCTCTTAAACTAAAAATATGCCAATAGACTTGAAGTTTTAAATAAATAGGGTCATAGTTGCATTTTGTGTCTACCAAAAATACTAATCCTGTGCACCAGGAACAACAGAACAATAAATGTTTACAGTTTACTCAAAGATCAATATCCAGACGTAGGCATAATATTGTAGGAATAGATTAACCGAATTGCTCATATGGACCAAGTCATAATTTGTTTAAGCACCTGTATGCCTGAAGCTGTGTGGACTGATAGCCTTTGCAATTCTCCCTTCAGACCTCTTTCATTTGCTCATTTTGCTTGATTTTGTTTTAAACCTTCCATGGCAGAATGGCCTTTCACAAGCTATTAAGTCGTGCCCTTCTGTTTTATTGAAATCTGCTTACTCCTCCCTGTTGCTGCATTGAGTTCTCGAGCTGTGTTTAACTAAATTGGATTGTGAGGTGAACACAAATGCCTAGCAGCTATTATAGTGATGAATTTGAACATAAACATTGCAATATGTACCAGACAAAAGCAAAATAAGCTTAATCTCAATAGCCATTTGACATTGCAGGATTCATTGTGTGGTGTTACATTATATAGAAAGAAGAGGAACATGGAACAAGGTAGAATCATTTAATAATTGAATAGCTGGATTCTGTTAAGAGGGGTTTCCTTGTTCCTGTAGGTGGGGATACACTGCTAGTATGTTTATCTGTATAACTCTTTTGTTTAGAAAACTAACTTGAACTTGTAATGTTGCAGGCAGTATTACCAAGCTTCAGATATTTAGGCATTACAAATTAGACAACTTTCAGCTGTGAAAAGGGCAGGAATATCAGCAATACCATAATTGATTGTTTGTTTTAAGAGTTTCTAGCATTACTTATATGATTTTATGGTGTGAAGTCATTCTGCATATTCTCGTATAAATGCATCAGATTTGGAATTTGGGCTTTCAGAAGCAGTATCACAAGTGCTGGCAGCACTGCAAGTAACAGGCATTAAAGTTGCAGTCCACTTCCCCCAGTTATTTCTGGAACTCCAGGAAAAGATACTGCAAAAACAGTTGAGAGGTGAAACTGTGTACTGCATGGGTCCAGAATTTCCTGTTGTGTTGACTATTGAAAAGAGGCAAACAGCTAATTCAGAAGAGGGAGACATCTCAGCCCTTAGAAAGCCAA